GAGAGAGAGAGAGAGAGAGAGAGAGAGAGAGAGAGAGAGAGAGAGAGAGAGAGAGAGAGAGAGAGAGAGAGGGAGAGAGAGAGAGAGAGAGAGAGAGAGAGAGAGAGAGAGAGAGAGAGAGAGAGAGAGAGAGAGAGAGAGAGAGAGAGAGAGAGAGAGAGAGAGAGAGAGAGAGAGAGAGAGAGAGAGAGAGAGAGAGAGAGAGAGAGAGAGAGAGAGAGAGAGAGAGAGAGAGAGAGAGAATTGATAGCCACCTTTTTGATGGAACACGGAAAACAATCAAGAGCACGCCATACTCTCTTGACCAAAGGAAAGCGCGAACCCAGAAGCTCCACGAAAGACGGAAGAGAAAGAAGGAGGAAGAGGAGAAGAAGGAAGAGGGACAGGAGGAGAAGGAAAGATAAGGGGATAACGTAAGGAAGAAAGCGGGAAGTACCAGAAGCGGATGATGATGGAAATAAAACAAAAAATAAAATAATAATGATAACATTGATAGTAATAATTATGATGATAGCGTCGATGAAGAAGAAGGAACGGAAGACACAAGACCCCCTCCCCCTAAAAGAGAAAGAAAGGACGAAAGAAAAGAGAAAAAAAGGGGGCGGGGGGAGGCAGGTCCGGCAGCGGCGTGTGGGCGTCCGGACGGTGGGCGCCCGCGATTGGATCAGCGCCGGATAGAAACTCCTCCAGAAGTGAAAGCTTGTTAACATCGCTGATTAAATCACTCCGGGCTCGAGCTTTTGCCTCGGGGATCTCGAGGGCGGGGCGGAGGCGCTCGAGCGGGGGCTGAAAGGGGGCTGAAAAAGGAATGGTGGGGGCTGGTGGGGGCTGCAAGGGGTCTGGAAGGGGAATGGAAGAGTAATGGAAGGGGGCTGGAGAGGGAATGGTGGGGGCTGGAAGTGGAATGGAGGGGCTGGAAGGGAATGGAGGGGGCTGGAAGGGGCTTCAGACAGTCTGGAAGGGGCTGGAGAGGGAATGGAAGGGGGCTGAGGTGGAGTGTGAAGTAGGTGTTTCGGAGGAAGGGAGAATGCGGGTGAATACCTGTTATTATTATCGTTTTATCAGGGTCATGGCCAAGGCAGCATTTGCTGAATTGTCCTCTTGAGGCTCTCTCTCTGCTCTCTCTCTCTCTCTCTCTTAGCTAGCCGCTCAGGCGAAAAGTTCAATCTAAACAATATACAGCGGCCATAACTTTCGCCAAATGAAACGGAACTGACAAAACTGTGAACGTGTCAGAGCACGAAAATTTTATGCGGCGGTACTGCGTGGCATCTCAACCCCAGCGGCCGGTGGCAACTTGCTTGGGACCGCAGACAAAGACTTGTTGCCGCAGCTGTCAGATGCAAAGGCCTACTTCGGACGCCCTTCCGCTGCCTCCGCCGGCGCGACGCAGAAAAGTGTCTCTCTCTGGAAATACTCAGGCGATGCAGCGCTCCCGGGAGGCCGATGTGTTGCACGCCGCCTGATAGAAAACGTGATCCGTCGCCAAGGGAAGAGGGGGGACTCTTTTGTTTGTTCGTTGCCCTCACTCCTTGCAATGGTAATTCTTTCTCTGTACATTTTAGAGACTGGAGATATGTAAGGGAAATGATGTCGCCCTGAGGATATCCAGGCTTCTCTGTACAAGCTAAGATCTATATCTATTTATATTCTGTGATGTAGAATCGATGAGACGCCCATTCCTTGGATATTCAGTGACATGACGCAACATATTTGACATTATTCTTTAATACCATTCGTCGAGCCCGAGCCGATGATTTGTTGTACATTTGCAGACACTGACTCCACTTTTCATTAACATTTCGGCTCATCTGCCAGGTTTATTCAGTAATACATAAAACCATTATTTTTCAGAAACTTATCTTGCAAGAACCACGAAAGCTCTCAATGACCCTCTGAGTCCGTGGTCAGAGTTCGTGGAAGCGCATCCAGGTCCTAGGCGCTACTAGAAGACAAAGCACTATCCACAAGGGACTTGATACTCCAAAGCTGTCCGTTCAAAGTCCAACGGTTCTGGATACAAAGTCAAGGGCAACTGTGTCCCTGGTAGTCCATTTGAATTCCAGGGTGATCCTGAAACCACACCCGAGGGCTAATGCAGATATGGAGGGACCTCCGCGGCCCTGAAGGCACCTTGAACAACTGTATGTATATACAGAGGTTGTGGAACCACCGGCAGGCAGGCGGAGGCGTCCGCTCGAGGCACCGCAGCACCCGCAGGGGATCACACAAAGGGCTATTCACAGCGACGGGATGTAGCATTCTCATGTTCCTTGGTTCTCGCAAGTCAGTGTTAAATGAAGGCATTCACTCAGCACAAGGCAGGAGAGTCCGGCCTCTCAGCGCGAGCGAGAGGGGGTCGGCCTCATCCTCTGAGGCGGCGTGACCTTTTGCCGGCGGGAATACACAGGGGGACTGCCGCCTGGATGCAGCTTCCACGCCTGGCGTCGCCGGCCTTTTTGTTTCTTTTCTTGTTATCCGTGGGCGGTAAGGGGCGAAGCGGCTGTTCACATGTCCCTGAGTGTCAACAACTTTTCGATTCGAAGATACTGATCCTCTCTCAGTCGCCGATGCAAAGGCCTCTGAGAGACCATTCAAGGAAATGAGAAGAGCAACAGTTACCTCCTTCCTCCAAAGTCGATTATATTAGCCTCATCGACCACGAACGTTGAGCTGTGTGCGAACTGACGAATATTGACTAGTATTTGTTTACAGTCGCCTCATTTTCATTCGTCTTCATAGATAACTTAAAGATGTCTCCGTGTTTTGAGCCGAGCCCGAGGCAAGTGGAGGCGGAGTGGAGGAGCCCGAGAAAAGTGGAGGCGGAGTGGAGGAGCCATCGTGGACGTATTAGGGCAGCATATAAATGTGTGTCAGATGAGGCCCCCTTCAACCGCCATGAGAGAGCTACTCCTTTGTGACTTTTTCGGAATTCCGACGAAGAACTTTTTCTTTTTTATGGTGTAATTTTATTCTTGCGTTTTTTAAAAATCCCTTTTGTTACTTTTTTTCTCTCTATCCACTCATTCTGATTCTTCCAATTTTTCTTGCTTTTAATTTCTAATCCTTTGATCCCTTTCTTTCTCTTCATTTGAAGATCATTATAGTCTCTTTTCTTTTTTATCTGTTTATCATTTTCTGCAACATCTCTAAAGCTTCCGTCTCCCTAAAGATTTTTTCTCTCTCTCTTTAAAAGTCCTCTTTAAGATGGCGAAGCAGTTTTCCAATGGGGTGATTACCTGCTTGTCAGTCCTTCTGGGATTTAGATCTCTCTGTCTCTCTCTTTCCCTCTCAACCTCTCTTTCTCTGTCTGGCTGTCTCTTTCTCTCTCAACCTCTCTTTTGTGTCTATGTGTATGCCTGTCTGTCTCTGCCTATTTCTCTCTCGCTCTCTCTCAACTCTTTCTCTGTCAGGTCTGTTTAGCTGTCTCTTTGTCTCTCAACCTCTCTTTATATGTCTATTTGTATGTCTGTCTGTCGGTCTTTGTCATTCTCTCTCTCTCTCTCTCTCTCTCTCTCTCTCTCTCTCTCTCTCTCTCTCTCTCTCTCTCTCTCTCTCTCTCTCTCTCTCTCTCTCTTTCACTCACTCTCTTCCTTCCTTCCTCCCAATCTTTCCTCCTTTCCCTCTTCCTCTCAGACATGTTCAATAACAGACGTACCCAAATGTTCACACGTGCACCCGCCTAATGCTATCCGGCCGTAGTAATTGCAAATGCACTTACATCCTCTATTGATCGCTCTTGCTTCATTGCAGCCACTGGCTCTGCTTGATTGCATGAGTACGGAATGATTGCAATAATTTCATAAAACAGATAACGACATTCCCAACGGCTTTTGTTTTTTTCCGTAACTTACGCATTATACCTTTATCATAATCATTTTCATGTAATTGCAAAAAGGATCTCATTTTATGTAAATTTTGGTAAATCATTATCATTATTTTGATTTTGATTACCGTTACTATTATTGTTGCTACCATGATTATTAATACCACCGCCAAGGAGGTTATATTTTCGGTAGCGTTGGTTAGTTAGTTTGTTTATTCGTTTAGATAGTTTGTAGGATAACTAAAAGTTATGAGCAGAGGTGTGTCTCAGCCCAACTTAGATGCCATAAAATTTCGGCAGTGATCTGGATTATGATCCGGATCCGGGAATTTTTTGAAGAATTAATAACCATTGCGAGATACGGACAACCTAGACTTTTTGGCGCTTAAATTTTTAGTTACTATCATTATTATCTGTCATTATTTTTAATGTAATTTTTTGAGTGAATATTTTTATTGCATCAGAGTATTGCACTGGCGGAGGTATGCGCTCCCTAAGTGCTTCTAGTTATTATTGTTATCATTGTTATCACTATTATTATTACCTCCCACAAGGAGGTAGTTTTTGGTAGTGTGGGATAGTTTGTTCGTTGGTTAATTGGTCTGGAGGATAACAGCAGAGGTGTGTCAGCCCTACTTTGATGGCATATATTTTTGGTGGTGATCCAGATCATTATCCGTATCAAGGAATTTTTAAAAAGATTGCGTGATAGGGGAATTTATTTTAATGTAATTTTTCAAGTGTGAATATTTTTGTTGCATCAGTGAAGCTATTGCTTTGGCGGAGGTGTGCGCCCTTATTATTGTTATCAGAGAGAGAGGGGGGGCAGGGAGAGAGAGAGAGGGGGGGGGGGGGGGAGAGTGGGAGAGAGAGAAAAAGAGAAAGAGGGGGGAGGGGGGGAGAAGGAGAAAGAAGAGAGAGAGAGAGAAGAGAGAAGGAGAAAGAGAAGCAGAGAGAGAGAAAGAGAGAGAGAGAGAGAGAGAGAGAGAGAAGAGAGAGAGAGAGAGAGAGAGAGAGAGAGAGAAGAGAGAAAGAAAGAGAGAGAGAGAGAGAGAGAGAGAGAGAGAGAGAGAGAGAGAGAGGAGAGAGAGAGAGAGAGAGAGAAGAGAGAGAGAAGAGAGAGAAGAGAGCTAGAGAAAGAGAGAGAGAGAGAGAGGCAGAGAGAAGAATAGAGATGAATAAGGGGCGGAAGGTTTGGGCGGGTGGGAGAGTCGCTGGCTCGCTCGAACTCAATACCGAGGTTGCCCCCCGCCCTCCGCTCCCCCTCGCCCGTCCGCCGCCGCTCCACCCTGCTCCCCTGCCTCCGCCCTCAGCTCCCCACCACCTGCCCCTCCGCCTCCGCTCCACCGATACCTCTGCTGGGCCCTCGCTCTCCTTCCGCTCCAGCCTGCCCCTCCGCCTATCCGCTCCACCCTGGCCGTTCCCCTGTGTTCGCCGCTCCCACGACTGCCGGTGCTCTCCCTCCGCTCCAACCCTGCCCTCCGCCCTTCGCTATCCCTCCTGCCTCTGCTCCCACCACCCTGCCCTCGCCCTCTCGCTGCTGCAACCTGCCTGCGCGCCTGGTACCGCGCCTCCGCTCAACCTGCCCTCGCCTCCTCGCCTTCTACCACCCTGCCCTGCCCTTCGCGCTCGCAACCCTGCCCCTCCTCCCTCCGCTCCACACCCTGCCAGCCTTCCGCCCTCGGCTACACCTGCGCTCCGCATCCGCTCCAAATCACCGCTGCTCTCCCTCGTCACCCCGTCTGCCTGCCCTCCGACCTCCCGCGCTGCCAACCGTGCCCCTTCTGCCGCCTTCCGCTCCACACCTCGCCCTCCTCTCCGCTCCACCACTGCTCTCCCAACTCCGCTCTCACCACCCTGCCCCTCCTCCCCGCTCCATCCACCCGCTTCCTCCTCCGCTCACCCTGCCCTCCGCCTCGCTCCACCACCCTGCCCTCTGCCCTCTCCGCTCATCCCACCGCTGCCCTCCGCTCCGTCCCACCCCTGCTCCTGCCCTCTCCACCACCCTGTTCCCTTCTCCCTCCGTCACCCTGCCTCCCGCCCTCCGCTCCACCCTGCCCCTCCGCCCTCCGCTCCACCCTGCCCTCTGCTCCATCACCCTGCCCTGCCGCCTCCGCTCCACCTGCAGGCTCCGCCCTTCCGTCCACTCCTCGCCCGTCTGACTGCCCTTCGCCTCCGCTCACAACTGCCCTCCTCCCTCCGCTCCAACATGCGTCCTCCGCCTCCGTCCACTGGCCCTTCTCCTCCGCTCCACCCTGCCCTTCCTCCTCACGCTCCCACCCTGCCTTCCGCCCTACTCGCTCCTCCCACCTCTGCCCCTTCCGCCCTGCCCCTTGTCCGCCTCAGCTCCCTGCCTCCTCCGCGCCCTTCACCGCTCCCACACCCTGCTCCTTTCCGCCCTCCGTCCACCCTCACTCTCGCCCCTCCAGCTCCACCCTGGCTCTTCGCACTCCGTCACCCTGCCCCTCGTCTCAACGGCGCTGCCCCTTCCGCTCTCCGCCCCACTGCCTTCATTCCGCTCCCAACCTGCCCTTTCGCCTCCGCTCCACAAAACCTCTGCCCCTCCGCTCCTCTTCACTCGTCTGCCCTTCCGCCCTCCGCTCACCGCCTGCCACTTCCAGATGCCGCCTCGCCGTCCGACCCTGCCTCGTCTGCTCCACCCTGCCATGATGCGCTCCTGCGCCGCTCCCAGCTGCCCTTCCCCCTCCTCGCTCCACCAACTGCCGGCTCCTCCATCATCCTTCGTTTGGAGCTATGACCGGCGGCGTCCACCTTGCCCTGTGCTTGATGCTTTCGCCTTCTGGTGGAATTCTCCGCGTCCATCCGCCCCTGGGCCTCCGCCTCCTTCACGCTGCCCTCCGCCCCTCCGCGTCCACACCCTGCCGCTTCCGCCAACCCTCTGCCCTTCCGCCCTGCGTCTGTCGGTCGGCGTCCAGCAGCCTTATGTACTGCCCCCTTGCTCTGGCGCCTCCGCGTTCTGCCACCCCCTTGCCCTTTCCGCCTTCGTATAACCGCTCCACCCTGCCTCTGCTGCCCCACCGTGCCACCTCGCCTTCGCGCTCCTCCAGCTGCCCCTCCGCCTCCGGCTCCAGCCTGCCCCTGCCTGCCCTACCGTCTGCGAGCCTGCCCTCCGCCCTTACGCGTCCCCTGCGTGCTCCGCCTCCGGCTCCACCCGCTGCTCCTCCGCCCTCCGCTCACCCTGCCTCTTCCGCCGTTATTTCCTCTCCACCTGGGTTGGCTTCTTCGCATTCGCCTCACCACCACACGCCTGCCCGCCTCCGCGTTACCACCTCCTTGCCATCCTCCCTACGGTTCTCAGCGCCTGCCGCCTCCCTCCCGCCCTACGTGGCGCTCCCCTGCGTGGGCCCTGCTTTTCATGCCGCCTCGGCTCTCCCGCTGCCCTCCTCGCACCCTCCGCTCAACCCTGCTCCTCTGCTCCTCCTGCCGCTCGCTCTTCGCTCACAGACACCCGCTGCCCCCTCTGCTCAAGATTTGCCATCACCGCGGCCCCCTGCAGGCCGTGCTGTCCGCTCTCACCGGCGCCGACCGACGCTCAGCCTGCCGTTTGCTCCGCCTCAGCCACCTCTGTTGCACCTGCACTTTGGCCGCTCGCTCCACCCGTGTCTCCTGCAGGTCCTGCCTCCCTCATCCGCTCCAACCGGCTCGCCCGCCTCCGTCACCAACCATGCCCTGCCCTGTTTTCCTCTCCCTTCTCACTCGCTCTCACCCTGCCTACGCTCTCGCACCCTGCCCCTTCCTCCGCCCTCGCTCCCACCCTGCCCTTCCGCTACCACCTGCCCCTCGCCCTCGATGTCCGCCGCACAGTGCCTCGCCCTCCCTCTGCCACCTCGCCTTCCCTCCGCTACCCGCCTGCCCACTCCGCCTCGACGAGATACAGAGCAGCGCTGTTCCCTCGCCTCCGAAGTCCACCGCTGCCTCACCTCCGCTCCAACTCCTGTTCTCCCCGCTCCGCTCACTGCCTCTCTCCGCTCCAGCATGCCTCCGCCCGCGCTCTCGCCTGCCCTCCGCGCTCCTACCGTTGCCCTTCCGCCTCCGCTCCCCCTGCGCTTCCGCCTCCGCTACCCCTGCCCCTCCGCCCTCGGCTCCACCCTGCCCCTTTTCTCCGTGCTCCTCCACCCTCCCCCTCCGCCCCTGCCGCCCTTCCGCTCCACCCTGCCCCGCCCCTCCGCTCCACCCTGCCCTCCGGACCCCCTGAGAGAGAGAGAGAGAGGAGAGAGAGAGAGAGAGAGAGAGAGAGAGAGAGAGAGAGAGAGAGAGAGAGAGAGAGAGAGAGAGAGAGAGAGAGAGAGAGAGAGAGAGAGAGAATGGCAAAACCTAACAAAAGTAAATAAAACAGTTATTATTTGAACATAACAATAAAAAAGATTAAGAGACACGGGGGGGGGGGGGGTGACATAGAGTAAAAAAAAACAAACAAGCAAATATATAGATAAGCGAAATCAGTTAAAACCAGAAAAAATGAAGAATTTCGAGATCTAGAAAAAGCTTTCCTTGAAAAAGACGTAAATTACATACATCAACTATCAAGGTTTGAATTCATTCTAAAGAACCACAAGTTCCTAAGACTTTAATTACATCGCTGAAATGATTCATAACCGAAAGATATTTCATGTTATTTCCTTTTGCGAAGTTATTCTAAAGAGTAAACGTCACGAAAAGATTTCTGGACGATATTTCATTATAACTAAAACTTAATTGAATTATAACTAATAATTATACCTTTATTTCTCTTTCGTTCAATATCTCTACTTTTTTTGTTTGTTTCCACTTGTTATCTAGAGCGTATTCAGAGTCATTTATTCATGTTATTCATACATATTCGTTAATGGCGATCGCATCCTAGCAGCAATATAATTATAAGATGATAAACAAGCAACCATTGATAAAAAAAAGAAAATCTAAGGAGAAACGCAAAACAGATCGAGGAAAAAATAGAAGAAATTAAAAAGGTTAGAAAGAAATATCAGGGGAAGAAGCAAAAGGAAAAGAAATCGATCAAAGAGAACAAAGAATGAAATAACAACAAATAAAAAGGAGATAAGAAAGAAAATGCGAGAGTATAGACTTTGCGTTCAAGGACGAGGGTTTTTAAGAGGCTTGGCAGTGACGTGAATGCTCTGAAAATGGCCATCGTTTCTAGCAGGAGTCTGACCAAGGAGTCATTAGCATGGAGAGTCGACTCCGTGACCGTCCTTCTTAACCTCTGTCGTACTAGTCATGTAGAGACAAAAGAGAAAAGGATGGCGCGTAGAGAGAGGAGGAGAGGAGGGAGAAGAAGAGGAGGGGGAGGAAGAGGAGATACAGATAAAGAAATATATAGATAAGTAGAAATGTCTCAGTTTCCTTGATAAATATTACCGTTTTAGTGACTTGATCTAAGGAATATCTCAGTTATCAACTCATTCACTGTGTTGTCTTGCCATTATTCTTTTATATTTTCCTCCTTCCTTCTTTCTTCTCCATCTATCTCCTTCCCTCCTTTCCTCCCTCCCCTCCCCCATCTACATCCCTCTCCCTTTCCCATCCATCTCCTCTCCTCCCCTCTTCCCGCCCCCTTCCCCCAGCCATTGTGCCAGGCCCCGCGCTCGTTGTGTGGCTCACAAATGTACAGTTGACATGTATCCGCCATGTCTTCCCGTTAACTTCCTATTCATTAACATACATATAGTGTTGGCTGAGCGTCGGCTGCTGTTCCGCTCTTGGTCGGGGGAGAAACTCGTTCGTCTTGGTTGTGCTTCGGGGGCGCCGTTTGCCCTTCGGTGGTGGAGTGTTGTTTGTTGGAGTGCGTGGGCGTGTTTGTTTATTGTGTATGCGTGTGCGTCTGTGGGTTTGTTTGTTTGCTTATGTGTGCGTCCTCGTTGTTGGTGAGTTATTTTTCTTACAGTGTCTCTTATACATAAGTGAAGTCAGGTATTTGTACTTATTCTATGGAAAAGATGGTTAGGCTTCCACAACAACGGGCCAACTGTGAGATCAACATTGGAGAGAAAAAAAAGGCATTATGAATATATGAATAACGCAAACACAAAATATCCCAAGGCAGATTAGGACAAGAGCCTGCTTAAATATTCTGTTAGTGTGTATGTATCCGTAGTCATGAGCAGACACTGCCAATGTTTATACGTTTGTGTATGTGCGCATGTAACGTATTTTGTGTGTACACGACAAGGACGTTAACTTTTAACAACAATCCTAAAAGAATTATTCTTATCAACATTTGATTTCTATTACTGTTGATTTTGTGTCACTTTCATGTCAAATGCACATTTGATGTATTGGGAATATTTTACGCAGAATATATCATATCCATGAATATTTTTTAAAACGCTTTTAATATCAAATTAATTATGCATTATCAAAAATACAAGCGCGAGTGCGTACACGTGAGCAGAGAGTCTATCTGAGTGTAAGTGTTATTTCCGCGTTACGTTCGCCGCATTCCAAGAAACGAAAATTCAATCTTGGAATCCGAAACCCCAAAGTTGCCAACATTCCCAATTTTCAGCCTCGGGGTCATGACTTGCAATCAATGTTGATGTGACAACCGCGGCGGGAAATGACCCGGCCTGGAATACTGAAATACTTTGTTTGCATTAAGTGTGGATGCGTTTCGTCTTTTTGTTTGTTTGTGTGCGTCTGGGCCGTAAATGACTGGATTCCCCGAATGTGGATGACAAAGTGGGTAATAACAGTTAGACAGGATTATATAGACCGTTGAGAAAATGAATGATTCACGCTTCCGTGTAACGCAACCTTGGAATAGTCCAAGAATTCTTTCTTTCCTTCTTTTTCTCGTGCTGCTTTCCGAGTCGCAATAACCCTCTAACGATCTAAATCGCACTTGCTGTTCGCCGGGTCGCGCGAGCACGCCGCGCGGCCAGGGAACGCAGTAAGGACGTCTCTTATTTTCAGCCCGGGAAAAAAAGAAAAAAGAGAGAAAAGATCTGAATATCTTAGTGTGTCGTGCCTGCGGTGTCGTGACGTGTGGCCGGTCAGCTATTGATGAGACGTACGCCTTTGTACAGTGGTTTGAGCCTGTATTTGGACAGCGGAAGGATTATGCGTGTTTCTCTACCTTTAGTAGAATAGGACTGTATGTGAATACATTCATGAATGAGTACATATGAATGAATACGTAAAGGTATTCGTGTTACCGTGGGTGCCACGTCCCCAAGTGAGGTCGACCTGGACAGGTGTATCGACTACTTCCGTGTACAAGTTGATTCAATATTGGATGATGTAGCATTGTTTATTGCTCAAGCTACTGTGTCAACGGCGCGTGCACACGCGTGGGAAACCAGAGCTGGCAAAACAGGCAGATGATATCAGTTCACCTTCACCAACGGCAAATGCGGTTAAATTACCATTTTTCAGCCCGACCTGCCCCGAGGCACGCGTGCTGCCTCTGATTAGCGTGATACTAAAATCCCTTTATCGATGTCCATAACGGAAAGCCGATACAGATTTTAGACACGTCATTATCGACCTGACAACCCGCATGTGTCCCTGCCCTCCCCCTCCCCTCCTGTCCACCACCCCCTTTCTCGTCTCCTGCCCCTCTGCCCATTCTCCTTCATATCCTTCTTACTCGTCCCTCTCTCTCTGTGGTGAACGGAAGTCCTTCTTTCGCCCTCTTGGTCTTCATCTCCTGACTGATATGACAGACTCTGTAGTTTCCTTCTTTGCCTGGAAATAAAGTGTGTTGTTTATGCGGTAACTCCTATTTGCACACATTCT